CTTTTAGGATAAGTCACTAAAATGGCATTATTTCTCTATACTGTAAAATTTCCACCAATTAAAGTATTCCAACAATTTAAAAAAAAATAAATACTAATTCAAATTTAAATATATTTATTAAAGAAATTACAACAGCTTGGCCTCCCCAAGTTTTAAAAACTTGTCAAGGTCCAATTGATTCATAAAGATAACAAACAAAAGGATTAATTTTTTTATGAACACAGCTTAATTTGTCAATTTTTCAAACCTTCAGCAGTATGTTTTCCTACTGTTCATTTTCAATAACTTCTAAAAGGAAGTAGTAAGAGTCATGCATGACTGTGAGAATGGCAATCATTATTAGAATTTAAATTATTTTAGAATCGCATTGTATTATACATATTAATTCGGCATATAGAGACGGGGTTGTTAAGTTATTTATTTATATACTATAAATTTTGCAATGTTACTATAAATTGTGCAAATTTTGAGAAAATTAAAGTTTTTATTTTCGTCAAATCGTTGATCAGACTTCAAGAGTTTTTTTTTTTTTTCAACTAGTAGACCTTCCCAGCTACTAAAAAATACATACGATATTATTTGAACAAGCTATACCACAATACAGACCTTATTATCTTGAAAACTGTTACTTTATGTCTTGATCTCTGATATTTCTGGTAAATATATGTTGGTTTTTTTAATTGTTTAGGGGACAGTACGACCTTTTGGAAATTCTTGTTGGATTAGACTTAAGTTTTTAATTGTGTTTGTACCATCCATTACTTTTTTAGATCTTTTTTACAAAGTCTATCATGGAATCAGGCCTATATCAATAAAAAGAGTTGTTTTAAATTCCTAATAACCTGTAAAAAACAATTGCTTGATTGGGGCAATGTACCCAAAAATTTGAATTAAAAAAAGTATTTTATTTATTTTTTGTTTCTTAAATAATTTAGGAACAAGTATCAAGCATTGGTTTTGGTTTTTAGCGAATTTCCCTATAGGGAAGTAGCTATTACCGTAGGTCTCATGGTAAGACCTAGGCCCGGGACCGATTTACTTTTTCATTTTGATGTCCCCAGAGGCCAAAAACACCATTCGTTCAAATTTTTATATATATATATGTGTGTGTGTGTGTCCATCCGCACGATAACTTGAGTAATTTTTGTCCGATTTTGATAAAATTTGGTTTGAAGGTGTAAGGCGGGATAAACTCGAACGAGTTCGCGAACCAGCATGATCGGACTATGGGAACGGGGGTTTACGGGGGGTTTTATTGGGTAAAAATAGGTTTTTCCCATTTTTGACCCAAAAAAAATAAAATTTTGCAAAATCTTTTCAAACCATTTTGTAGAGCTTAAAAAAACAAATAATTTAGTATATTGAAGTGTTACTATGCGCCTAATGGTTACGGAGAAAATTCCAAAAAAATGTAAATTTTAAATTTCCATGTTATTCTTATGGAGAATAAGTAAACTGTTGTAGTTTGCTTGTTTATGAACATATTTTGATCAAATTTGGAAAATGTTTTTATTTCTTACTAACTATTAAAATAAAAAATAAAATTTTACCCTTCCTGATGCAGCAAACCTAAGTACCTGTTAAAATAATTCTATTTAAATAGGAAATAAATGTTAAATTTTTAAGTAGACATTTTAGTGTAAATCCAATCAGACATATGGAAATTCGCTTAGTCTGCAGGTTTGCTGCGGCGGGGGTATTTAATATTCAAAATGTGTTTTTTTGATTAAATTTCATAAGCGCACACAGCTGGCTTTTCTGCTTCAGGCGCCTATTTTGGAAGCAATGTAACCAAAAAACTTCATTAAAAACTTTTTTTCTATTTTTTTTCTTAAACTAATTAAGAACTAGTATCAAGCATTAGTTTTGTATTTTTAAAATTGAAAATAGTTTTTAGACTAAATATCATAAGCATCCACAGCTGGGTTTTCTGCTTCAGGCGCCTATTGGAGTCAAAGTGTTTTTGTTATTTCCCGCATATTTTATTTTAGTGTTTTCCTTCACGTTTTACAGCATAACTTTTTAATTTTTTAGCTAGAGAAGTCAAATTTTGTACATATGTTCCTCAATACATTATGCACAAACAATAGCATGGAAATTTACATATTGTTAACCATATTCCTTACATATTTTTTTAATAAAAAAAATAAACGGAATTTCGTCAAAAAGTTAAAATAAAATGTCCCATATCTATTTTTAAATGCATATCAAAAGCCATGCTACAGTTTGTAATAGCTCACCTTCAAACCTCAATAATTCACCTTACAAGTGTAGTAAGAGCGTTTTTACATCACGCAGGTGAATGTTGTGCAACGAGCGGAAGCGAGTTGCATAATTTACCGAAGTGATGTAAACACGCTCTTGCGTAACGTGTAACGTACAAGATTTTACCTGACCCGACAATATACAGGAGGTTGCGAACAATATTTTTCATTATCCATTTAACTCATCTTCTAACAGTAACGTTAATTTACAAACAAAAGCTAGGTTAGGAAAATTCTTCAAAACATAACAATAAAATTCAAGCGCACAGCTGATTTCTAGCGTTGAACGTCGTTGGCTCCATAGAGGTATATTTTTTTTCATCACTCCGTAACGAAAGTAACTACTTTCGATAACAGCTGACATCAATGAAATTAGTCGTTTCCCAAGCTCTAATTTAGGGCGAGGGAAAAATCGATCAGCTGATTTTCCCTCGCTCTAAATTTACTTTCCCTCGCTCTCAATTAGTTCTATATTTATTCACTACGCGCGCTAGTGTTTTGTTATGGTTTGATTTAATGATTTGAATCAGCTGTATGTATTGTTCAAAGTTGTTTTATTTTGATATTTAAACTAAATGTATTGAGAAATATACGTAGGTTTCCTATTAGAAAATGTTATTTTATTTTATTTTGATGTTCAATCAAATTAATTGAGAAATAAAATAGTTGTAATATTACTGAGGTCTGCTATTCTGTGTTTGTGTGTTTTTGCGTCGTGATGAAAAGTATCGTTCATAACTCGTACCGAAAGTTACTATCCGGCACTTGCTCCATTATTCCCGTTCTCGGCTTCGCCTCGTACATGAAAATAGCTCTCACATACTCGGCTTCGCCTCGCACGTGAAATTGATGTTCCCTGTGTTCGGCTTCGCCTCACACAAAAACTTAAGTACGCGACGGAAAATGCCACTTTCGGTCCTAGTAATGAAATATACTATTAAGTCAAGCAATCAATGCTATTTAAATGGGTTTCATTACATCACCGAGTGAGTTTTTTTCAGCTTTACATCACTCGAGAAGTAACGAAGTTATATACATCACGCTTGGGATAGGGAAGTTTAACATGGCGGGTTAGGTAAAGCTATTTATTAGCTTTGAAACAAAGTTTTAAAAATTGGAATACGTGCTATACAAAAGGAGTTATGCTGTAAAACGTAAACGTATGTTTTTTTTAATCCCCCCCTTCGCCCGAAAGAGAAAGGGGGGGGCTCATACCATATTTTCTTGTTATTTTTACACTAGGATACATTTTAATCAATAAATAAAAATGTTTAGGCCATTTACAAAGAAAAAGTATTTTTGGGTATATTGCCCCCTTGCCCGTTTGTATTTTGTTACTATTCATGACCATAATATTTTTCTAATCGGATGGTAAGACCATTAATTATATTATATTTATTGGAATAACTTTAATTTTATAGAATACGCTGGAGGTATGAAAACCAGATTGATAAGTGCCATTGTCCACGTTAAATTGAAAGGTATATAAATTGGAAATAGAGAAATGATTCTGAATCTTCTTAGTTGTAACTACAAATTAGAAGAGTTATTTTCACTGGCTTTGAATCAGATTAGCCCTATTTAAATCATTATATAGGTTTTTTAAAAAGGATAAAAACTGCTTTGCAAGCGCCTGCATCAATACCAGGACAACTTGAAGTACAATTATGTATTGCGTGTCATCTAATAAAAGTTGCAGGATCTACATATTTGAGTATAATATTTTTTTATACATTTTTGTACTAATAAGGTTATTAGCGGTCTTAAAAATTACTGACTTTACTGACCAGGACCTTTCTTCAGACACCTCTACCAAGTTTCTACGGCCAGCTGTTCTCTCAAATCAGTGGACACACAAAACAAGTAGCGTTAAAAAATACACAAAATAGAATAATGCTCAACGATTTTATATCTTTTTGAGAGTTGAGAATCATGCTTGACCACACTTTGACTAATTAAAACCACACTTCTCTGTACACTTGACTCACTTCAGCTTGATTTTAATTTTGTCCCTAGGGGGTAAACGAACAATGCATCCTTTTTTATAGAATTATTAACTTGAGTTATGTATTTCTTGTAGAAATATATTTAGGTTATAAACATAAACGAACCCGAGAAATTTTGAACCCTCATTGAGTCGTAATCTTAAAAGATTCAAAGTATATAAATATTTATACATTACATTAATTACAAGTAAATAAAGAAACTCTTAAACATCTAGAACCTTCTTGTAAAATCAAAAGAGTTAAGAATCATGTTTGACTACCATATGGCTAATTAAAACCGTAATTTTCTGTACATTTGACTCACTTCAGATTGATTTTAATTGTTTCCCTACGCAACAGTGCATGTATCCTTTATGAATCCTTAACTTGAGTTATATATTTCTTGTAGAAATATATTTAGGTTATAAACATAAACGAACCCGATAAATTTTGAACCCCCGTAGAGTCGTAACCTTATGTTAAAGATTCCAAATATAAAATTATTTATACATTACATTAATTACAAGTAAATAAAGAAACTCTTAAACATCTAGAACCTTCTTGTAAAATCAAAATGTCCTTTTTCACAAGTTCCCGTGACATATAGTCATCGCTGAGTTTTTATTGTAGAGAAAGATACAGTTAATACGAACAGTTAGCCTACACATGTCGCTGTCATTCAAATTTGTCGCGCGGATAATCAGCTGATCAGCCAGTCAGCTGTTCTCCCCACCTGTCACGTGACCTTGTAGCTATCCGTCTGTCTGTCAGTCTGTGTGCTTCTGTGCTGCCGGGTGACAGAGAGGTAGCAGACCTTCCATACAGGTATTTATCATTATTTACAATTCTCATTTGTTAATGATAATATTTAAAAATTCAAAGTTAATGTAATATATGAATTTTTAACATTTGCAACACATTTTAATTTTTTTGTAGTTTAACGCTACAGTTTTTTTTTAGCTACAGGTATAATTGAACGATGAAATTTAACGAATTGATATATTGATTAAAGGAATTCATTAATAAATTTTAAGTTAAATGATTAGATGAAATCCGACAAAATAATTATAAATATAAACTTTGAATAGGCTACCATATTTTACCGTAGTTTAAATAGATATTTTTTTCATCAGCTCTGTAGGATTTAGAAATAACTATTGTTTATGTGCAATTAATGAAATAGTAGGAGGACAATTTAATAAGCCATAATAACAAAAAAACCAAAAGGGGATGTTTTTTTACAGAAAATGTCAATTCTTAAAGAATGATCAGAAGTTGTTTGTGAAAGTAAAATACATGCTAGAATAAATTAACTAAAAGAACTGAACAACTATAATATACTAAAATATCTCATTTTGATGCATTTGTTTCAACGATTCTCTATGTAAATAGTAAACAAAATGCTATAAATGCTTAGTTCTGCATGGTGCGCAAAATAGTATTCCGAACATCATTCGGTTAAAAATATAAATCGTCATTAGAAAAAGAATAATCTATCATGAACTTTATACACCACTATAATAAATATAAGTTATAATAAAAGTATGTTCAAAATTAAATTTGAATCTCGTAAATGTAGTTTATAGTAAAATATTCTATTTTATCGTTAGTTAGTCTAGAAAAATTGAACTATGTTTCATAGTTAACTCCATTGTTGTAATTTTTTTTTTTTTTTTTTAAGTTTGATCAGATTTGTCAGATGCGTGTAAAAAAATATTAATTTCTGGTTGTCACGGTCAAGGTTCAGTCTTGTATATTCTACACTTATTACTGGACATAATACTTGTTTCACTGTAATTGCACTTTACATTACACTAAGAGACATTAGACAATTACAATTACATGTAAAATTACATTACATTACCTATAAAACAACAGTTATTTTCATTTAACAATGAGCAGTACCACAGCCCCTGTGGCACTACACTAAGTTTACGAAATGCCTTAAAGTGATTAAATTAGAGGTTTCATCAACCTGTGTTGAAACTTTTAGTTGCATTACTTGCGTTGCAGAACAAAATGCGGTTCACCCTTAAGGGAAAAGAATCGGCTAAAATTAAGAACATTAGGTGTTTTAGTGTGAACTTTCCATTTTTTATCATGTGTCCATTAGCACGATAACTTGAGCAAAAATGATCCAGCCTTGATGAAATTTTGTATAAAAGTGTATAAAACATACATTCATTCGAACGAGTTCACGAACCAGCATAATAAAACTATGGGAACAAGGTTTTACGGGGTAAAAATGGGTTTTCCCATTTTTCACCCCGAAACAAGCATTATTGCCAGTTATTTCCAAACCAATTTGTAGAGCTCAAAATATAAATAATTTAGTACAGTGAACCGTTGTTGTATATCTAAAGGTTACTGAAAAAATTCCAAAAAAGTTTAAACTTAAAATTACAATGTTATTCTTATGGAGAATAAATAAACTATTATAGCTTGCTTGTCTATAGGCATATTTTAACGAAATTTGAAAAAAAATTGAAATTTGTTTACTTTATAATAAGCTTTTTTAATATGTAAATAAAAACACAACTTATAATCCAGTAGCAGCAAACCTTAGTACTCATTAAAATTAATAATATTCAAACATGAGGCAAATGGAAATTCTTTTAGTCTGTAGATTTGCTGCGGTGGGGGTGTTTTGAAGTAAAGAAACCTCATAGGAATTATGCTGTATGACCAATAATGTAGTATTTTTTGTAATATTAACTCCAAATGCAAAACGTGTCATCTAACTATAGCTAATTTTAACTTTTAGACCATCAGGTCATAGTAATGTCTACAGTTATACTTTTTTTGTCCTAGGACGCTAGGCATGAGCCCGAATTTGTTTTTTTAATTACTTCAGGCTAGACCTTGGGGTTGCGGCAATATCACATGGATAAAATACATTGGTGATTTGGCGGGATTTGAACCCGGGACCTCTGGAACCGAAGTCCCGCGCTCTAACCACTAGACCAGCTCGCTCCCCCCATTACTAATCGCTATATGAATCTAAACAGTCCAATCTTAGAAAACAATGTTGACGCTTCCTATTAATCTTCTAAATGACATAAGAGATAACTTAATATTAGTGAGGAAACACTTTTCCTACCACCACAGAGTAACATAAGCTGACCTGATTGCCTTGAGTGATCAACAACAGCGGTGCCAAGACAGATCCCTGAGGAACGCCGCTTCCTTACTCTATGTAAACTTCACCTTGGGATTGGCATTCGTGTCCGCCGTCAACCGGAATCATAACATTGTTCATTGTTTGGTTAAGAGTAGATAATTATGTTGTTTATGATAAGTTTTATATAAACATGATGGGAGGGATTGCGCCAACTGACCTGAGTCGGGTAGTCGAGTATTCCTGAATTGCGCCAACTACTCCAGGGAGCTACCCGATACGTTCCTTAACTAGACCAAGTGAAGGCCTTTTTTGACTGTATTTTAGTAGGTTTGGTTAGGTTAGGTTATGTTATGTTAGGTTAGGATGACACCTAAACAAGGACATCCCTTCTGCCGGCAATAAAATCACCCAACTCATTCAAGTTCATCCCAACACCTTCAAACCAAATTTCATCAAAATTGGACAAAAATTACTCAAGTTATCGGGTTCACGGACGTATATATATATTTGAAGGAATGGTATTTTTGGCCTCTGGGGACATCAAAATGAAGAAGTAAATCGGTCCCGGGCCAAAGTCTTACTGTGCCACCTACGGTAATACCTACTTCCCTATAGAAAAATTCGCTAAAAGAAGTTTTTGGTGTTTTACACAATCCTTTTAAGCAGCCTTAAAGTTAAATCCATTAAAATTCACCTTCAACAGCAGTTATTACTACTGTTTAAATAGTTTATTATAGTTTATTATTTTCCTACGATCGCGTCTGGGGCATGAATACCAATGGATTAAACTAACCAGACATAAATTTATTGGAAACCTAATTTTTTACCGTCGTAAATTTTTTTAGAACCACCCTTTAAAACTTGTTGCTTAAGAAATCTTTGCTACTGACGCGATCAATACAAAATACAAACCCAGTGATAAAAATAAAGCAAATTCGCTTAAAATAGAAAATTTCTACTCTCACACTTACATCTCTCGTAACATAACCTTCCGTAAAGTCAATTATCATCTGTAGTAAACAACACAATGTTTTCCCCCAACAGATGATGTTGGCCAAGGGGACACAAAGATCAGCTGTTTATACCACAGGCCACACATGACACAACCTTGACCGCGAGGTTTGCAACATTGTCCCTTATTGTTGTGGTACTAAAGACGAATTTCGTGTACACAATTCTTTTGTGATAACACCTTGTGCCTTTTGTTTTCAACAATGTTCCTTATTAACTTTAACCTAAGGGTGATTTTAGTTTGCGGATTGTTCAAGCCAAGTACTTGAGCTTTTGAGTAACACGCATTCATGTTTGGTTTCCCATATTTTTTTTTATATTTTATTTTTCAAACCATATTTTTTTTTAATTCTTTGTTCAAACGAATTAAATATTTTCTGCATCACATCCAAGAAACGAATTACAAGTACAAGTATCTCGGAGCTTTTTATCCGTTCATATTTACAACGTTCGTTCACTAAAACCCTTACTATGTCTACTATATCACATAGTCAGTATTTCACACTTGAGATGTTAACCATAAAACATCCTGTAACTAAATTACTAACACAACCACTGACAAATTTAGTCAGATTTAATGTAAACAGACAACAATAAATTATTACAGGTAGTGCTTTAAATCACAATCATTGTTTGAAATCAGACAAGCCACTCACAGTATCAATCAAAGAGATTGAAGACTGCATATTGATGGGTGTTAGGGAGTTTTCCCTTCATTAGAGACATTTTGCTTACCATATGACTTATTGCCGTTGAATGTCGTACGATTTGCAAGCCTAAACTGTGTAACGGTGCAAAAATGGGTCTAAGGTCCTCAATTTACAATTCATTTCGACCTCTATAAATGCTTATCAATTTAGTAAACGTCTTTAAGTCAAATCGCAGAAATAACCATAATATTAGATCAATCTTTATTACTGTATACCATTCTTCTCATAGATTTTCTGGTAAACCGATGTTTTTAAATGCCTTTCTAATTTAATAGTAGGTTTTTAGCCTCCTGATTGCCAAAATTATTTTTTTAAAAAATGTTCAAATACCTGCTATTATGCAATCCAACGTTGTTGTAAACACAACTAGTTTTGGTGTCTGTGTGACACCATCATCAGGTTGTCTTTCAAATGTTAAAATGACTAATTTTTTATTGCTTTAGTTACGTTAGTCCAAGTGTTGTGTTAGACCACGAGTGACTTAAACGAACGGAACAAATGAAGTTTTGAAATTATTCATGGAAATGATAATACTGTAACTTTTAAAAATGGCTTTGAAATTCGTGTCTATCGTGTACTTTGTATATTGAATTAGTCATGCCATCAATGTTACCTTCGTTTTAGTGGACACGAACATACTTCAATAGGACTTTGGCGTGTGCTATTCAATAATAGCACACGCCAAAGTCCTATTGAAGTATGTTCGTGTCCACTAAAACGAAGGTAAGTTCAATAAGTTATATTTTCTCTAAGGATTTCACGCTATGACAGTTAATGGAGACAGCAGAAAAAAGGGTAGCAAAATAAAAGCGTATTATACAGCACCAATATTTGAATTGTTTTCTCAATCCAAGCGTATTCTCGTGCATTCTAAAACTGACCACTGTTGCATGAGAAAATAACGGAAAATGAATTGCGTAAGCAAACACTAGTCTAAAGATTGAGTTGCCAAATAATGTCAAATGCTTTACACAAGAACATCATTCGCACATGGAACTTTGTTTGTCAACGGAACATAAAATAGGTAGAAAAATTGGCAGACTAAATGTGTGCCTGAGCAGATTTTGCAAATTATGCAATTGCAAAACAGGTCGCTCCGGATAAAATTAAAAGCTAGTGAACAGGTTTGTGACCTTGGTGAAAACTGGTTGCTTAGTAACCGGTTGCTCTTCTTGCTTACGTATGGTCGCAAAATATTGTAGCATGACGTCTTCCGATGTTGTATATGTTACTAGGTGAAACCCGTCGACATTGACGGTTAGGGCTTACGCTAATTCATCTAACTGCGATAAATAGAGTGAAATAATACACATTTTGAGCATTTAACTCTTTAGCTTTTTATGAGTAAGTGTAAAAACAATAATGATTCTTTATTATAATTCTTTCACATGAGCTTCCAAGCCGATTTCTCATGTCCTATTGCTTTAAAAGTTCATATTTCCGGAGACACATTCCAGAATAAACAATTACTAAATTTTTGCATTAGAGATTTTCATTCGAATCCGAATAGTTCTTCCCCGAAAATTCGTCCCTGGAAAGCGAAATACAACACTCAAAAATATTAAACTTTTCCTGATTACTCATCACGAATTAATTAATCACCATTGTCAGAACAAGACTATAACTCATCTCAAAGCGAGTCATCGTCCTCCCAAACATCTCATCAACATCTGCAACTTCGACAACGACATTGGGCAGTCTCTAATCACTGTGACCTTGACTATAACCTTATCTCTTCCTGCGTCACTCGTAATCACTGTAATCAGCAATGGCTGCAGTGATGTTTCAATTATACTTCCTGTTGTTTTGTACCCTTGCCAGACTCTTGCTGTTCTGATGATGATTGTAGCTTACAATCCAATTGATCAGTATTTCCTATGAAATATATATTACCTCGAAAAGACACTTTCTATAATCTCCTATATTTTTTTTCATTTTGCTTAAGTAATTTAGTTTTCCTACAGTCAACCGACAAAGTGGGCCTCCTTGCACAGATTATAGTACAGAAAGCCAGAACTGCGTGCTTTTATTATGTACGTAATCCGTGCATGCTTGAATATAAGTTGTTGGCAACACTACTATGATCAGCTAGTGCAACGTTTCCCATTTCGTTCAATGTTTTGGATTTAACCTAACCTAAATACGTGTTGTACAGTGTTTGAAAGACTAATTATTTATATTATTTATAGTAACTGTAGGAAAAACATAATGTGTAAAACGAGTGCAAACTGCCTTTGCTGCAAGTACAGTTTAATAGTGCAGCAATGTGCCACTTTGCCTACTATTACACAAATAACTATAAATAAATTTATATTAATTTTACAATGGCCTACTTTGTAAGTTCAAGACCCGAACTAGATCCATTTTGCGTTACAGTTGCCGTTTCCTAGAACTAAAAGCAACACACTGTACAGTCAATGATTTTACAAGTGTTTTCAAAGACCCTTGCGGAAATGTTCCGATCTTAATGTAATCGGCACAGTCGTGTTCGAAAATAAACTCAAAGGGTAGGAGTTTTATAGGACGTTTTATAAGGCGTTAGGGGACTTTAATAGAATTACTGTAATTTCCTTGTATCTGTTAAGTAATGAAGTTAATTTATCAATAGAAGTAATATTTGTAGGTTTTCTGCAACAATTGTGTTTTGATTTCGTGCGTGCACTATGAAAGCAAGTATATTGCAAGTAATGTTGTCATATTATAAATGAAAGCTAGAGATAATCTAATATTTTGCACATGTATTTCAAAACTTAACACATACTCAAGGCCAGTGGGCGGAGCCCTTGTGGACCATTGTTTCATAGGCACATTGTTCGGAATGAAAGTCCTAACACGACCGCCAGCCAGTGTGAAGTATCAATAGAGTGACAGACAGCAAGTCAGCTGTGTAACATGTTTGGATTGGATTACATCATTAGGACACAATACACCTTCTATTAGTAGGAATATGTCAGGTGAAGAACAAGAGAATTTTAGTTAACTTGATGTGTCAATAGACCATTTAGCTCAACATGTAACCTCAATTGCAGCTAAACACAATAATTCACTAGTACTGACATCGGCATCAAGATGGCTCTTAATCTGTTTAAAATTTTAATACTGTGGTTTCATGAAATGGCACAATTTAAATGGCATTTTTAATCAAATAATTTCTTCTTTCCTACATCTGGTGACTTAAGCCTTTGTTAACATTCGTCAAACAGCTGTTTTGATGTGTCTAACTTATTGTTGATATTATTATCAGTTTCCAAAAGGTTTGGCTGATAACGGTAATTTAAGAACAATTTTACAGCTTATACAACCTCTTTTGAACATGCATGTAATCTCCCTGATGTGACCTTATTTAACCATTCAAATATTTACATTGATTTATCAAAATTCACCAGCATTATTTTTGTTCCAGAACCATGAAGACCAAACAACCCTTTTTGAAAAAGAATGTGGAAATACCCAAAGGAAAGGAAATGGATGTACAAAACATCAAAAACTGGCTAGTGCACCAACCGCACCTACCGAAACTTACAGGTGAGCTTGAATCATCCAATTGTTTAAGGTTACCTGTATAAGACACAAGATAGGAAAGCAGCATTAAGGTGAAACAATAGCTATTTGTGTAACTAGTGTAACAAGTGGCACTTTGCTTCACGTGAGAGAAATGTTTACGCACGAGCCGCAGGCGAGTGTGGAAAGTTTCTGGAGTGCAGCAAAGGCACTTTGCACTCGTGTTACACATTATATTTATCCTACAGTTACTATAAAGCATATAAATAATTAGTCATTCAAACAGTTAACACGTTTTAGGTTAGGTTAAATCCAAGCGTGGAACGAAATGGGAAACCCTGCACCAGCTAAGTCGTAATATCTAAGTGTTGCCAACTTATTATCAAGCGTATACGTATTACGTGCCTAATAAAAGCACACAGTTTTGTGTTGTTTGGTTGGAATACTGGTGTGCGCCAATGTAAGGCTTTCTGTATTATAATCTGTGCAAAGATGCCCACTTTGTCGGGTGACTGTAGGAAAAGAACATTTCTAATATCGTTTACTAGATATTTCAATTTTAATCTCTTTGGAGTTTGAAAAAATATTTTTAGACGATAAATAACTCTTCATCAGCTGTTTGAAACTACCCAAGACGACCGCTAGACTCCAAGGACTCCTAAGGGTTCCTTCTTGTTTGCCCTTGTTAAAACAAAGAAATATATCACAATCTCATCACAGTGTATAAAGACAAGTAATTTTTTTCAGACGCACACATAGTCATGTTCCTACACAGTTGTTACTACTCCGGCGAGAGAACCAAGGAAACTATAGACAACTACTACACGGTCAGAGCTCAGTGTCTAGATCTGTTTGGAGGCAGAGACTGGCCTAGACTTGAGAAACTATGGAAGTCCTTGTAGTAAGTAAAACAACTTGTACAATAATGTCAAATTCAGGTATACTTTTAAAGGTTTTCTGGGATTTACCAGGTTTTCTGATTGAAAAAATCCAATTTGTATACTTTTATGGACATTTGGATGTGATAAGTTGGTCTTGGGTTAATTTTCATAATTATGCTGCAAGCATTTGATGTTTTAGTTGCTGAGCGACCAATTATCTGGGATATTAGATGTGTCAATTTATTTTGTCAATAAGTAGGCCTAAGGGTGGTTTTATATAATGGTAAACCTGACCATTGACATTTCCTGAGTTGACCGTAACTATAAGATATATATTCCATAAAAGGAAGAACAAATAATATATTCGAGAATTAGTATAGAATTTTAAAATAGATATTAATTTATACTCTGACTTCAATTGCTTTTACAGTAGTAATCTTCGGTGATCACTAGGTGTTTTTTGTCAATGCCAATAACGCGAGGCCTAGTAATTCTACACTACATTAAATAATGACAAGCTGCTATACCCGTGCTTTGCAACGGGAAGAAAATGTGACCTAGAGAGCTATTAAAGTGGTGCTGATGTGTGTCTTAAAATACAGCAAATCTATGATTTAATTTGAAAATATAAACTGATTTAAAAGTGTAAACCTACTTTCAAACCCCTAATTTTGATGTTAATAGATCCAAAAGAGTATTACACATACCTTAGTGTAGCAATAGTATCAACTTCTTCATATGCTTCATGAATGAAATGTTTTACCATAATTCTTCAATTTTAGTCAAGCCTCTTTACATGTAGCTTACTATTTAAATTACAAAATAAAACTTTGAGAAATACTTAACAAAACTTATATAACCTTTCTTTAAAACCAAACATAACCCTCCTCAATCTACATAAAGCATCACACACATCTTTTTCTAATAAATAAACAAACACCAGTTCATTGCACTGACCAGCTGTTTCATTAAATAAATTAAATTATATAATTTAAACTTTGGAAGTATGCCAGGCGTAGCCCTTTGGAAATCAGCCTATGGGGCAGAGCCCTTAGGTAATTCGTCCATATAAATACTTTTCGGCAAATCTACACACTCTAAGCTTCATTTTGATGTGCCATATGCCCATATTTTCATTTGGTAAATGGCCTTAACAGTTTCCATAAAATTTGATTGTATCACTTTAATAATATAATAGATGTATGAGTAGTGATGCTGTTAATAACTGGACCCAGCTGATCCTGATCATTGGGCTTTAAATAAATGATCCTGTCTAATGAAACAGCTGATCTTAGTCTGTAACAAAGCTACACAGATCATCTCACACCATTCTACACTCATCCTTTACTCATATTTGGGTTAAAATACGCACCTAAGTGGCGTCCCCATCTTAATGATTGATAATTGATAATTGACATACATTAATTGTATGAGGAATTACATGTATTACGTAGCATTACTAGGCCTTGCGTTATTGCAATCCACTTAAAACACCTAGTGATCACCGAAGATTACTACTGTAAAAGCAATTGAAGTCAGAGTAATACTAGGTAATGTAAACGAAGGAATTGTCGCCCTCAATTATAGTTTGTTTGTTCAATTATTCGCTGACGTTTCAACAACTGCTGACGTCGGTGGCAGCAACATCACTTTCTGAAACGCCGTCTTAGTACAGTGTGGTTAAATAATTCACAGTTTACAATCCAGTTACAAAGTAAAATATTTTGTGCTGTAAAATACGTATACATTTTTTCTTAAAACAATTTGTTTGTCAATGTATCTACTCTCCCGCAATTTAATATGTCAAAGTGGATTTCCACACTATGAAAATTGAGGAATGAATAAAATGGATTGATTAAGTTACTTAGCATATATAGTATGTTAAAAATAATTCTATTAATATGTTAATAATAATTCCCTGTCAAATATTGAACTAAGATATGACTAGCTAAAAATAATCTACATTGAGATAACCAACCCAAAATATTTTATTACGACGTCCTTCTATCACGTATTTATCAAACCAAATTTGACAACTAACGTATGGATTGCGAGCGATGGGGAAACGTTTGAAAGAGTTGAGAATCTTTCGTACCCCTGAAAAAACGCCTAAAACATGTTAAAAACATGTATTACCCTGATTCGGAAGCTATTTTCAAAGATGTGACAAAAATAAACTTATGTTGCATCAATTAATCTTGTATGTTCGATTTTGTATCTATTCCCAATCAATGACGAACAATCTCGACTTTTGCACAATAATTTCCCAAAGTTTACTCGCGAACTGGTAACGTTGTTTCAGAAGAAATCTGGTTCTGGAAAAAATTGCGATAGCCTAAAACGAACGATGAAAAATCGCATCGGTAGCCACGCCACGTCACTGTGGTTTTGACACTGGCCTAGATCAGTTAATGATCAATAACCGGTTCCACATATCGGTAGACGATATCGAGTCCGTATGCTAATTTAAGTAATCAACTGAATGACGCAATATCGATCTGAAAACATCAATTACCAGCCGAAGAATTTGAATGGATCGAATCGATGCGATAATCGATTTGTTCAAGTAACATGTTTTATTTTGACGAATCAAATCGTTTCGATGTAAGAATTCTGGTTACAGAGATTCGATTGTTTCATTCGATATATCGTTTGGTTAGTTAGGTTAGGTTAAACCTGACTAACCAAACGATATAACTTATCGAAATTATTGATATATCGGTCGATATTTTCATTCAAATGAGTGTAGGACGTAAAGTTAATTCAGATAGAACTAAGGTGTATGTATTCACGCATTTGTATTGAACTCTTTCAAATCGATTTACCTTACTTGATAGATTAGTAGACTAAGTTACTAAATACGGGGTGAGCCAAAAAACAGGGACCATTTTAAAATGTTATTACTCAGCTGTTATAATGGCTGGAGACTTCATTGATGCGGCAAATTAATCTTTATTTGATGCCATTTAGTGTATAGTTACTATGAATCATCAATGGTTACCGCAACATCGTGCCTTTGTTCTAGAGACATATTTTGAAGAATAATTTGTCTATCATTTCTACTCAACGTCAACTTCGTGTTTATTCCAACGTTGGCTGTAAGGTGCAATCCCAAACCGAAAAACTATTCAAAGTTAAGTAAGTAATTTCCAGAACACGGCTTCTGCACTCAAAATCAAACCTAGTGGGAAACCTTGTACTGTTCGAACGCCGGAAAACATTGAAATGGTTCGCGCGAGTGTGCTGCGTGTCCTAAGCGTCGAGCGTATTAAGTCATCCGAACATTGCATTTAAATTTAAACTTGCATAGGTTTAATTTTGAGTACAAAGGCCGTTTTCAGGACATTGCTTATCCATCTTTGGGTAGTTTTTTTTCAGTTTGGGGTTATTGGCACCATTACGTACGGCCAACATTAAAGTGAACACAAAACTGACGTTGAGTAGGAATGATAGACACATCGTTTGAAAAAAAGTCTCCATCATAAAGGCACGATGTTGAGGTAACCATTGATGATCCATAGTAACGATTCACCAAATGGCATCAAATAAACATTCATTTACCACAAAAACGAACCCTCTAGCTGTTATAACAACTGAGTAATAACATTTTAAAATTGTCCCTGTTTTTTTGGCTCACCCTTTACTTCGACCTGCAGTTAATTCATAAATATAATCACGTACGGCAAAAACGGTCTAACTCGCGTATATTGTTATATTTTTCTACTTTAAGCATAAATAATTAGTCTTTCAAACACTGTAGAACGCTTTTTTTAGGTTAGGCTAAATCTAAACATTGAACGAAATGGGAAATGCTGCACCAGCTGATTGTAGTCGTAATATCTTTCAGTGTTGCCAACTTATTTTCAAGCATACACGTATTACGTGCATAATAAAAGCACACTGTTTTGTTTTGTTTGGTTGGACTACTGGAGTGCGGGAAAAAGAAATGAGTGCGGCAAAAGTAAGTAAATGCAATAATTAGCTACTTTGCGTGCTATAATCAGTGCAAGGAAGCCTACTTTGTCAGGTGTAGGAACAATGTAACCGTTAAAGTAATCGACTGAAACATCGACTTGAAGAAACATCTGATATAGATTATCACACAAACAAATTCACATCGTCTCAATCCATATTGTAACCAGTATAATTATCAAATAACATGTATAAAGCAAATGACAAATCGAAAAATTACAAGCCGATTTGATGGAATACCACTAGAATGACACATAAATCGAATAACATACCGATCAATTAAATGACCTATTGATCATTTGTAAAACATGCCGAAATGCTACATTGATGCTATGTCGATGAAGTTGCTTACCAAACGACTGCATCGGCCAAGTGGTGGCAACACATCGATTAACCGACGAGAAACTCGTATAACAATTTACATCTACAAACCACCACCATCTTTGTTGATAACTGGTTGTAAAAATTCCAAACTACTTATAAACTTGCCACAACCACAAGTAGTCTTCTCCATTACGATTCGCTCGGGTGGCACTGGCGATGAAGTCCTCACGATGAGAGAAAACACAGAAATTCACGAGGAAAACCGCTGCTGTTTTAGAAAAAAAAAACGGTTTTGATTTAACATAGTATGTTATAGTATGGTCCTTACAATTTTAATAGTTTTTTTAATAGATTTTAATAGATAACGGAAAATAGGATTTTCCCAAAAATGGCCCGGAACAAAACCGTGAACATTTCCGTATATTTACTCTCATCGCTTACACATGATAAAGGTTGACAAACTTATGGGACAAAGTGTGTGTCAGAATGCTGATACCGTTTATTTACAATCTGGCAATTTATTAACTGGTATTTCGATACTACCAACTTACATGTTTGTATCATTACAGACGTTTTACGAGAAAGGAGAGTGTTTCAAACATTAGCAGAACCTAGTTCACATTGGAACATACACTTAAGAATCCATAACGTTCAAAATATTTTGTTCATGACTAAAACATAATGATTCAAGTTAAAGCCAAATCTATTATTGAATCAGCCATGGCATGTGCCTAGAATTCAATACAATAACCCTGCTTCCAAACAAACATGTTTAAGATATTCCTGACCTAACCCAGAGCCTATTTTACACGCAAGGCAAGTTGTCCGCCATTTTGTGATGTCAGCTGATCGCTGCCTTCTGCATGTAAATCAGAAGTGGCGACGATATCTAGGTGGCAACTTGTGCAAATCATCAGCTGTTGATGTGAAATGTTGAAAATGTTACACCTCTCTCTTCGGACAAATTGCTTTTCGTCACAATGCAGGAAAACATCCATTTTAATACAATGCTTTGCGGGTGTTAAAAGTAGCTCTGTTTAAGTTTTTTCGCCGCTGGCTTAAAACAGTAATACCAGCAGTGACCTTGAAACCCCTCAAGGACACTTTCTCCCGGAGAACAAGGTCACGCGGGGGTGTTTGGTAGCTCATTAGCGATGTATTACACGTAGGCCCGGGACCATGATAACTTATCTAGTTGAAAACAACTGCAAATTGATAGGCTGTTTATGTAAACCTTATAAGAAATGCTTCCGGGGTAGATTTCCATGTAGATGTGCATAATTTCAACTGTAGATTTTAAACACACATACAACGCACTAATTGTTTGCGCGAAATATATTTACAAGTCGCGAGTACTATACACCAAAGTGGGTCAAGAAGCCAGAGAATGTTACATAAGTATCTTGTGATTATCTATTGTTGTCAGTTCACAGCTGATTAATCGTGTTACAATAATCTGTGAAAACTTTCAATCGCGAGGATTTAGTCTTTGGTCGCGATCTCATTGGACAAGTAATTGTATTGTCATTGAGCGATATTATCATAGATAAAAGGAGTATAGACATGTATTATCAAATACGTTTAAATATAATAATAATTGGACCAAATGCACAGTGAGCGATGCGACTTGGAGCGACTGCCGACTTCCTTCGAAACTATGGAAGGAAAATTTTGATCGGTGCTTTCTTTGTGGGGCACAATACTATAAAGAATAGTCGCCATCAAGTAAAAAATGGTGTAGTTAATCAAATTATACTGTTAATAGAACTTCGACCACCGTCTTCAAAACAAAATACTCTATGTGTAAAAAATTGGAATAAAAGTGATAAAATGTAGACTATTCGTCCCAGTGTGTAATGATTTTTCTAACCATTTTCGTCCAGTACCATTTTACACTAGCACAAAAAATAGTTTTAAATATTATTTTAAGTTCCTCTAACAGAAACGTTTTACGCATAGCCAAAGTCTAAACAAACATGTAAACAGATTATCATTATTATCAATAATCTTTATAAAATCAGCTGATGCGTTGTGGTCTTTACCATGGTCACGTGGTTCATGTGGAACTGTTGGCCCACTGCGGATGTCAGGTGAAATTCATTTTGCAATGTTTGTCGACCTGCGGACATTAGGACAGCTGACTCAACGTTAATTGTTATGTGAAACGTCTGCTAATTGTTGACATTCGGGACTTATAACGTTCGATTTCACTACAAATACACTAACGCATACTGGAGTGTGTTAATTCATACTGCGGAAAGACTCGTCGTTGAACTAATAAGTAAAACATACTGTTTCATCTTAGTCAGTTGTAGTGAACACAAGATTTCTTTTTACGAGTTCAAAGTTAAGTATTGTCTACTAGAGGGATCTATATAGTTTTTGTTATAACGTTTTCGTCAAGCTTTGCAAAACTTAAATTTTTTGCAGGATTAAGTACAAAATCCTCATGAACAACAATGCCATTTTAATGCTAAAAAATGTAAACACCCCAAAAAGGGTAACGCTACAATGAAAAAAGCTCAAGTTTTAAAATACTTCAGTCAAATGACAAAACTATACTCAATGCAAGGGAGTATTGGGACTTTAGGGCACAGCCGCAATTATTTCAATGAGACAAATGAAATATTCGAATATTGTATTGGAGTTTGGTGTTTTACTAACTAAACGTACATAAAAGGTAAGTAAATGGATTGCTGTCGTATCTACAACCCTCACTTTTTTCCAGACCCGTCAAAAAAATCAGTTCTGTACTAGGCCTACATTGAGTACAATTTTAAAAAAGTTTTCGCCCATGAGAGAAGAAATGCGTTTCCCAACACTTAATTTGGTAATCATAAAGGCCTACAATAACCTTTTGCGTTAACTGGTCTGCCATGCCTAATATAACTTACGAAATCACGACCGTTTTTTGCGAAATGGCGCATTTATAATTTATGTAAATATTACTATAAAGTTTAACATATTTGCTGAGCTGGTTTTGCAAAATGCTTATTTCAGTAATTCTGGACTGGTTACGCCAGGGACGTTTCTGTTGAAGAAGGTTGTTTTGGCAACACTGTTGAATATGTTATCGTATGCAATGGACAGCTGTATCCCCCATATCATGTTATGGTGGAACAAGTGTTATTTTGAAACAAAGCTTGAATTTTTTAGGTTATGAAGATTGAGTTGATAAAAAATTTAATTAAATCATGTAAAAAGAGAATACTTAGAAAAATTAGTACAATATCATTCATACAAGTCACTCTTGTTCCAAGTACCTAAACTAACTGCTTTCAATCATAAACTTTGTTTATACAATTTTTATTAACTATCAAATAAAGTAAATAACCAAAATTAAATCAATAGCCAATTAACATAAATTTCCTAATGTGTTACATGGGTAAGTATTGAGAGGCATCTAAGTAACTTAATTTCAAATAATTAAAATAAATTAAATAAACTCTATCAGCATCAGCAATCTGACACATACTTTCTCCCATTAGCTTGTCAACAACCTTTATCAGGGGTAAGCGGTGGGAGTAACTACGATAGGTAAAATCACCAAAGATGCAATAACTTTTGAACCGTAATTTTTACAAGAATTCGGTGTTGCCATATTTTATTTAGAATTAAAAGGACCATAACAGACGGATTTCAATCAGAAACTGTTTTTTATCCATTCTTCCGGTTTTTCGTGGGTTTTTATGTGAAAATAAAATAAGTTACAATAACTTTTGAACCGCAGTTCTTACAGCAATTGGGGGTGCACTATGTGGTTTAGAATTATAACGTCCACCACATAAAAAACCTGTTTTTATGGTTTTTTTATCGTGAAAATAACATAAGTTACAATTTCTTTGAACCATAGTTTTTACAAGAATGGGAGTTCTGCCATTTTATTCACAATTTGAAGGGCTACAATATACTAAATGTTTTTCAAAATTGTTTGGCTATTTTTGAGAAAATTCTATTTTTCCGTTATTTTATGGGTTTTTTTGTTGAGAAAATTAACATTATAAAACATGTTTAAATAAAAAAAACTCCTGGAGATACTATGGATTAGTACCTACATAGTTAACTAACAAACATATTATTGCTAATATTGTGAACAAAAATATATCTATTTATTACTTATTCTGTATATAGCTATACAGACCGTACCAGCTTACATTATTGTGCGCCTTCAAATTTAAATGCGCTCCGGCAACTCGCAACACTTAACTGTTTGGCGCATTTCGTGTGAAAGTTGCAGGCGATTTTGTGATTTTCAATTAATTGTTTTTAGGCCTATATAATTATTAATTAAAGGATTTTATTGATGTTTTCAAACGACTTTCTGACATTTTAAATTGTTATTGTGTATATGCATTTCGAATAAAACCAAGCGTCCTCTTTCTATGTGGCTGTTTAGTTCAAATGCTACCCTCAGAGATTTGCTAATTTATTACAATTCTTGGTTCCACTTCCAATGCTAATAAAATTTAGTAAACTGTCTACATTTAAAACAGCTTAAGCTAATTCCCAGCCATTACAAACAGGTACATTTCAAATCGTTTTAGTTTTTATGTTATTAAAAATGTAAAATTTATACAAATCAAAAAACATTTTTTCACAAATCCCTTAACCTAACATATTTGAAATAGTTTCATACAGAAATTATATAAAAGATTTTCAAAATTTTAAACACACATCAACTTGAAAAATATCACTAGCGGACATGTACAAAGGCAAAAACGTAGGTACTGAAAAGATATTGTGCGTTGTCCAGTACATTGATACATGTGACATTTATTTTTGATTGTTCTTCATAAAACAATAAATTGTGGCAGCACTAAAAAATATGTACGAGTATTTTGAACGTATGACCATGGTCGGTTTGTCCTAGGGCCTTGTATGCATGTTTAATCACTGACAGGAGTGACAGGTGTAAGTGTATGTGTGTGTATATTTGTAAAATTTAAAATGTAAGTAATTTTTTATCTATGATTTCGATTTTTGTTGCATTATAAATCGATTAAATTATTAAAATATTCGTAATATACAGTATTTAGTCCCGGGAGACGGAGCCTTCCTCGGTTGTAATTAATTGGGTTTAATAAATAAAATAAAACAATATTGTAAACAAACATGTTATAATTTCGGAAAACATTTTTATTACAAAAATATACAGACATTTGTAATAGGATTACAGTATTTTTTTTAAATTTTCAAATGAGTTGTGTAGCGAAATACAAATTTTCCTGAGGTAGTGACTGTCACCAATCACATTTTTAGGGCTATTAAGTCCCCAAATACAAAATTTAATCAAAATCCTTCTGCTGGATTTCGAGATATATATTACTGACAGACATAGCTCGTATGTATTAGAGAATAGGATGTACAGGTTAAGTGTAATAAAGAGCCATGTGTTTTCATTTATTTTTTTATTTAATTTCATAAGACACACGGAAATAGGGTAAGATCAAGTTAGTGCTGTAATAATGTACATTTTTCTTCAGGGAAGTAATCAAGGGTTTTTCCACAGCCTGATGGCACCTCTCCCCAAGTCTACGCCCGAGGGATATCGTATTTTGGTCTACCGCCTGGCCGACACTGACCCATCCAAATTCAACTTTCAGGTAAGGATAAATTAGATGAGCAATCCTTAAAAATACACACATGCTGTAAAATTATTGCACTTCTGGTTTAAAACTTTCCTCTGTGTTCCATCAGTTTCAAAGACTATTGACTATTGACTAAGGGAATGAACTGTAGTGACTGGAAAAAAGTATAATCCGTGTTATAAAACTCAGGAGGTTGCCAGTTAGATTGTGAGAAAAGTACACACTATTCTGTGTACAGTCAATGTTAGTAGCGTTTTCAAAATGTACTGATAAAATTTTTAGGTTAGCGAACCGAAAAATTTACCATATGTTTTTTTCTGTTCCCTATTTTTAAGTTATCCGAAAACGATGACTTTTCTGACGATTTAGAGAATGGCTGCTTTCCGGACAGTATGATGAAAAAAATTTTAACAGAAGTTTTTTTACAGAACTATAGAATGCAACAATTTTAAAATACATCTGATTGCTCTGTAAAGAAAATTTCTGTAAAAATAAAAGAAGCCTCCTTAAAAGCAGCCATTTTGACAAATAACAAATGGGTAAAATATTGGACCGCAAACTGTATATATCTTCTGATGACCTTAAGCAACCAAAGTGACATAATACTTTAAAGTTAAATCGTCATGTGATAGTCAAAATGCTTTTATTTAATCTTGTTCTAGGAAGCGTTGACGGCGTTCTTTGCGTACAATGATGTTCGTATCTCAGAAGATGGTCTAGTGGAAGGTTACATTGTAGTGTTTGACATGAAGGGCGCCACTATAGGACATCTGGCTAGAGTGTCTACATGTATGCATCTAGTACGCAAGTTTATGGTCTACATCCAGGTACGTATGTATCACTTTATATAAGTAAGAATAAACACTCCTTAAAACCATCATTACCGTGAGGAAGTAGCAATTTAGTCTGTCCACTTTTATCTAGAATACAGAGGACAAATTTCAACAAGGATATTCTTTATGTTGCAGGATTGCCACCCTGTTAGACTGAAAGGTGTCCACGTCATCAACACAGTGTCATTCATAGACAGTTGTCTGGGATTGGTCAAACCATTCATACAATCCGGCCTCATGCAGCTGGTTAGTTGACATGTAGCTTTAGTCAGTTGAAATTAAATGCTTCAAAAGTAGATTCCTGGAAACACGTTTGTAATATTGGTCGTCTCCGGAGAAGACCATGCTTGACGGTTTACTCCGCTATTGGGTTGTTCCTAATCGTATCATACGTTTTAGCAAATTTTCCATTTCAGTCCAGCGTTTATAGGGGATTGAGTATGCACTGAAAGTGTAACACATTTCAACTTCTAATTGTTTGAGGCATATTGGAGACGACCAAAACAGATGTCATCTGGTGCACAACTTTGGGGGGAGGGAAAGTAGTAAGAAAGTTTTTAAATAGGGCTCATATCCCGGAAACTTGAGGGATAGAAACATGCTCAATTTAAATGGTATCCCTATTTTACTAACCATCTATTTTCATATTATCATTTTTTGAAAGTTTTTGTTTAACAGCTTGTTTTTATTAATAAATAAATATGAAAATTTATGACAAACTCTAATGCTACTACAATGAAGAAGAGGGTTACAGATGGTTTTCAAGCCAGGTTAATTAAGTGTAAATGATTGTGTTGCTAACTTTGTTTTGCTAAAATATTGTTTTCTTACACTTACATGTTTTTAACAGATCCACCTCCATTCTGATCTCAAGACGCTAGAGAAGTTCTTTCCTCTGGAGCTGCTTCCTTCAGACTATGGTGGAATGGCTCCCGACACAGTCACTCTTGCTGGTAAACTGTCAACTGTTATTCACTTTTTTAGCCAGGCCTGTCTTGATAGGAAATTTACATTTAAGTCCTGCACACACTGGAGCGATACCAGAGCGAGTGTGATACTTTTTCTTGGAAATTCTCTTACGATACCATGGTGGCTTATGGAGCCACACACACACCATAGCGAACTGCGATACTTTAGTGATATTATCGTCGTAAAGCTGCATGCACTGTTCGCAGCACTTTATTACGGCGATACCATGCGGCCAAACTATGAACTACTCAGATTTGTCGTCTGTCCTGTGCTAACAATACCTATATGTGCAACACACAGTGAGCAATCGAACTCAGCAACTCGTCAAAACATTTCTGATTCATTCTAAAATATATGTAGAATCTTTTTAATATTTTCTTAACTTGGTCATGAGCGTAAGGTATTTCCTTTATTCAAACCCCCATTTTGTATCCACATTTTCCTTGCTCTCTCCTCTTCTAGCACGGCTAATAACAGCAACGCTACTTCTTCATCTGACGATGTCATGGTATTTGGTAGGCCTAAACACACAGAACAGTATATAAAAAAACACAAAACTATAACACAACACTTTTACGTTCATAGAGTGACCAACCCACTTCATCCTACGCTCCCCTGAGGTGTACTTGCTTTCCCGTGCGTCTATTTTCCTGCTCTGGCGCGGAAGCCCTACTTTTTTTTGCTGCAATATTATCGCCCAAGTATCTATCACATATCAAATTCTAGGAATTATATCGTGTTGCTCCAGCGATAAAGCATCGTTTCGGTGTGTGCAGGGCTTAAGTCAAGGTACAATTTTTTTTAAATTGGTACCGGTACACAACACATAAAAGTTTAAATATTTGCCATCCGTGTAATATTTATAATTTTTAGTTTGAGTTTAAGGAAAAAAGACATTCTCAATGAAAATTTTCTGATTTCTTAGATGTCTTGGTAACCATTGATTAATGCAAAATACAAAATGGCTGCACACTGTTGCCGACACCAATCTGGGTATTTTGATACGAGGATAAATAGGATGAGTGTAGAATCATATGATATCTTTGCTACTAACTGAGACCAGAATCACTCATTATCATGGATTGCTGGGCTCAATTCCGAACCCCAGAAGTGCTTTAAATTTTTCTCAGAAAAGGAATAATATATTTACAGTAAAAACATATTTTCAATTGAAATATCTCATAGGAATATGTATTGTATGGTTGATTTTATGTTTATCCTAAGCTAAGCAGATCACAAATTACCCTTGTAACTGTGGTTCAGACACACAATATAAATTCACTTAATGATTTGGTCTTTGTAGATGAACACATGAAGTTGGTCGCCAAGAACTACAAAGATTGGCTGAAGGACTCGGAGAAGAGCATTGCAGATTTAAAACGAAGAATCGGCAAACCAAAGAACCAAATAATGGAACTAGAAGGTTCCTTCAAAACTTTGGAAATTGATTAGCACGTAATTTATTGTAAATATTTCATGTTATTTTTCGTATCTTTAATATTACTTCAGGACAGTTTATGTGCAAGAACCAACTATGAACTAAATGCTCAACTTTTTAGACATGCATTTTAGGTTATTGTTTTATATTGTACAGTACATGTTTTTGAAAGTTACGTGTTAAAAATACGTTTGCAGGCTGAAGTTTCAGTGGGTGTTAAATGTGACAAAAATAAGAATTATGAATGTTTACTATGGTTAGAAAGAATTCTAAGTCCTATTTATATCTAAAGACCAAAAATAAATAATTTATATACCTAATTTCTACAGTTTACTTTACATCCTTCTTTCAGTTTTTTTTTTTAACGTAGATTACGAGTACCTACTAGTTTTTGTATGCGTTTCTCACTTTGTTGAATATTAAAACTCTATGTATACTATTTGTTTTAATTACAAATATATGATTTTTCAGTGATCTATTGCTGTAAAGAACCAATCTGTTCTATATTCAAGCTGCCTTTAAGCACGTGCAAAAAGTTTTCATGTCAGTAAGCCGGGGACTGATTTACTTTTTCGTTTTGAGGTCCCTAGAGGCCAAAAACACCATCTGTTCAAATTCATATACAAATATATATATATAGTTATATATGTGTCCGTTAGTGCGATAACTCGAGCAAAAGTCATCCGATTTTGATGAAATTTGGTACAAACGTGTAAACCTACGTTTATTCGAACGAGTTCGGGAACCAGCATGATCGGACTATAGGAACGGGGGTTTATGGGGTGAAAATCGGTTATTCCCATTTTTTACCCTGAAAACTTAAAATTTATCAATTTCTTTCCAAACCATTTTGTAGAGCTTAAAAAATTATTAATTTTGTATATTGAAGCGTTATTATGCGCCTAATGGTTACAGGGAAAATTCCAGAAATCTGTAAATTTTGTTATTCTTATGGAGATGGTTGTAGTTTGATTCTTTATGAACATATTTTGATCAAATTTGGATAATGCATTAATTTCATAGTAAACTATTAACATTTTACATAAAAAACATCTTTTTAAACCTCCCTGTTGCAGCAAACCTAAGTACTCGTTAAACTAATGTTATTTAAATAGGGAATAAATGTGATATTTTTAAGGAGACGTTTTCGTGTAAATCCAATTAGGCAAATGGAAATTCGCTTAGTCTGTAGGTTTGCTTCGGCGGGGGTATTTTTTAATTCTACGAGTTCCCCCCTGCGGTTTCGGGGTTAGAATAGAACCGCAGCCTTCCCGGGCTTGTCGTAAGAGGCGACTAAAAGGGTGACCGACGCTCTCACTGGGAGTCCTTGGGAGTGCCCCTGTTGTGTTTGCAGGGGTTGATGTGTGCTCTGCACTGCCGATGGGTATTCTCAGTGAGTCGTGAGAAACCAGCCACTTCGGTCCTTGGTCAGGGAGTGCGGCATGGATGTAGAGGTCGGGCTCTACATTGTGACGGGTGACCCCCGGCACGTCAGGTATCCGGTGCTGGGAAAACGGAGGTTGGGCCTCGGGGAACTGGGGTAGGGGCGCTGTCCCCGAGGGTATACCCGTTCCTGACTATTCCGGGCCGCCCCTTGCCGCACGATGCGCTGGTAAACACAAGATGGCTTTTATAACAAATACCCTGAACACATCTTTAATAAGTAGCTCGAATGAGCAAGAAAAGAAGTCGGAAGTAGAGCGAGACCCTTTTGGGCGAAGCTCCAAGGTCCAGAGATCGCCAACATTGAAAGGCGTGAAGACGTCCCCTCCACCTGCATCTTTCAGGTGTACAAAAGACTTGACTTTGGGATCTCCCTTGACAAGTGGAGAAGGAAACGGTGGACCACCCTCTAAGTCTGGTGAAGGGATGCCGGAGGAATCCCTAACAACAGCGTTAGATTTGGAAGTGTCGGGAATGGTACTTCTGCGTCAGCAATATCTCGACGCAGAAAATGACATTGAAAACCGGCTTCGAAACATGGAGCAGACCATAAAGGCAATGCTTGAAACCTTTAAGACGCAGAGAGGAGTTAACCAAGTGGTTAAAAATGGCATGGCTAAGCTCGAGGACGACCTTGGTTTTGTCTTCGCCTGCCGGCTGGTGAGCAAGGCGGCCATGGAAAGGATCGCCGAGAAGGTGGTGTCCCATTCCTGACGACAATGCGCGACCTTCCAAGAAACGCAGGAGGCCTACATCAGAAAGCCCTCCAAAAAGAGAAGAGGTTGTTCAGACAGCAAAGCCTAAAGTTAAGGTCAAGGCGACCCAGACTTCTAGGTCCTTCTCTGACGTAGTTGCCGCTCCAGCGAAACCTCAACAGCCACAGCAACCTGCGACACCCATTGAGGGTAGCTCCCGAAAGGGGTCAGTCGTAGAAACACCATCTGGGACTGTGTGGGAAAAGCGCCTTACGAAAAAGGAGAAGAGGAAATTGAGGCACGCGGAAGTCGGCTCCAAGACATATGTGGCAGTGAGGGCGCAATCGACCGGCGTGGCCCAAGCTGTGCCTGGCTCGGCACTCGCTAAAAAGTCGCGGCCCAAAAAGCCCAGGACTGAGGCAATTTTGGTCAAGCCTTTGGAGGGAAGATCATTCGCCGAAGTCTTGGGTGTTATCAAGGCCAAGGCTAAGCCAGAGCAAACCGACACGGTTGTACGGTCGATTAGACAAACCCGGGACGGGGACGTCCTCCTCGAACTGGGTAAGTCTAAAGATAAAGCCGCCTTTGCTGCCGAACTAAAGGCAGCTGTGGAAGGTCAGGGCACCGTTCGTGCTCTCGAACCCAAGACGTCCGTCGAGGTTCGGGATATGGATTGTGTGTCAACGGAGGATGACGTCATTGATGCCCTAAAAAAAGCTGTCCCCGAGCTTGCCGGACAAACGGCTAGTCTGAGGGTGTGGCTCACGAAACCAAACCGGAGTCAACAGCGGATGGCGGTCGCCGAAATGGCAGACGCAAACGCCAGTAAGGTTTTGGCACTCCAGCATTTGAGGGTTGGATGGGTTAATTGCAGGTTGAGACGGAGGGTGGAAGTAACGAGGTGTTTTAAATGCCTTGATTTCGGCCATTCCTCCCGAAACTGCGAAGGGCCCGACCGAGGCAAGAACTGCCTTCGATGCGGGGAGGTGGGTCACACTCGTAGGGACTGTAAAGTTGAGACCTGTTTCCTCTGTAAGGAGAAAGGCCTCAATGATAAAAACGCTAAACATATAGCTGGGTCTGGGCAGTGCAGTGCATTTAAAGGCGCACTACAACAAGCGAAAGCCCAACCACGAAGATAAGGATCCTCCAGTGCAATGTAGATCGATCCAGGACGGCTGACGCGCTTCTCAGTCAGCTTGCCCTCGAACACGGTGTTGACGCGCTCTTGGTCAGCGAACAGTACCAGTACCGGGACAGGGACCCATCTCTTTGGTTTCCCGATACACTTGGTACTGCTGCGTTCTGGGTTCGTAATACAGCTAAAGTGCAGGTAAGGAGTCACGCGAAGGGCCGAGGATTCGTTTGGGTCCGGTGCGGGGATGTCACTTACTTTAGTGTATACCTCACCCCCAACGAGGCTATCCGTGACTTTCGTGGAAAGATAGACCGCCTGGAAGAGAGCGTGCGCGATACCGCCGGGCACGTTGTCGTGGCGGGGGATTTCAATGCTAGGGCTGTCGAGTGGGGAATGACTCTCACTAATTCCCGGGGGAAGTACATCCTGGACTTTGCTGCCAGGGCTGGACTTGTTGTCATAAACGAGGGCAACACGCCAACTTTCCAGCGTCCCGGAATGAGGGGAACGATCCCAGACATCACGCTTGCATCTGAGTCCCTCTTGCCGAGGATACGAGCCTGGAGAGTCCTAGAGGATTATACGGCCAGTGACCACCAGTACATCATTTTTGATGTCATGGATAGTCATCAGAGACAAGCTACCGTGTCTCGGCAGGTGCCCGTTCGGTGGAACACCAAAAAGCTGGACGTGGCCAAATTCACCGAAGTCATACTACGGGGAGAGCCAGTGGTACCTGCTGCATCCGGCGTGGCTCACGCAGAGACATCAGTTACATCATTGATGAGGCTGATAGTCTCGGCCTGCGAAGAGTCAATGCCTCGCAGGATATCCCGGTGCGATAAGCGACCTGTGTACTGGTGGACAACCGAGATCGCAGAACTACGACGGGCAGCATTGAGAGCCAGACGTCTTGCTACCAGGGCTAGAGAACCTGAAGATAGACGTCTTAAGTCTGACGCTTACAAGGTGGCAAGGAAGTCTCTTCGCCGGGCCATTAACCGGAGCAAACGCAGTTGCTGGGAGAAATTAAGGGACGATGTCGATTCCGATCCGTGGGGCCTTGGTTACAAGATAGTAACCAAGAAGCTTGGCACCCGCTCTCCACCTTCCGTTATGGACGGGGCCTCTATGGAGAGGATCGTAAAGTCCCTTTTCCCGACTCACACACTGCGTCCATTGCGGGAGTTCGGAAGGGTGGACGACGTACCGCTTTTCAGTCTCGAGGAGTTGGAGGCGGCCGTTCTGTCCCTGAAGAACAACAAGGCTCCTGGACCGGATGGGGTACCTGGTGAGGCCCTGAAGAAAGTCTTTTCAATAAACCCACAAATCCTTTTGAGCACGTACAATGCCTGTCTGGCCGAGGGGAAGTTTCCCTTCTGCTGGAAAACAGCTAGGCTTGTGCTCGTGGGGAAGGGAAAAGGAAACCCAGACCTACCCTCCTCTTACAGACCTCTCTGTATGTTGGACACTGCTGGGAAAGTCTTGGAAAAGTTGATCCGTTCCCGACTGAATTCAGCCGTGGTTGCTGCAGGGAATCTATCCCCTCGTCAGTACGGTTTCAGGAAGGGACGGTCAACGGTTGACGCTATTGAGGAGGTAAAGCGAGCCGTAATGAGAGCTGAGGAGTTTAACAACTATTCTCGTCGGGTTGTGCTGCTTGTAACACTTGATGTGCGAAACGCATTTAATTCCGCGAGGTGGTGCGATATGCTCGACGCACTGGAGAACACTTTCCACGTCCCGGCATACCTCATGCGCATGATAGAGGACTACCTCCGGTACCGCCTCATCATTTACGACACTACAGAAGGCTCCAGGACGATGGATGTAACTTCTGGTGCTGCTCAAGGATCCATACTGGGCCCGGACCTCTGGAACGTCGCCTACGACAGCCTCTTGAGATCCGAGATGCCTGAGGAAACCGTCCTAGTTGGGTATGCAGATGACGTTGCGGCTTTAATAGCTGCACGTAGCATTGAGCTTGCCCAGCTGAAACTAAATCGAGTCATGCGAACCATTAACGCATGGATGGCAGAACATGGTCTCTCGCTCGCTCTGAGCAAAACTGAGATTGTCATTCTGACTAAAAAGAGGATTGACACCATCGTGCCTTTGATGGTGGGGAACGTTGAAGTCCAAACCACTCGTGCCGCAAAGTACCTTGGGGTCATGGTGGACAGCAAGCTCAGCTGGCGAGACCAGATCACCCGTACGGCGGACAAGGCCGCTAAAATGGTTTCTTCCCTTAGTCGGTTAATGGCCAATGTCGGAGGTCCACGGTCCAGCCGCAGAAGGCTGTTGATGTCTGCGGTCCAGTCAGTGCTCCTGTACGGTGCGGAGGTCTGGGCAGACGCTCTCAATAAGGAGGTATATAGGATGCGGCTCGCCCGAGTGCAGCGTCAGGCAGCACTAAGGGTAGCATCTGCCTATCGAACAGTGTCCGAACCCGCCGTCCTGGTGGTTGCTGGAGTCATCCCCGTCAAACTTTTGGCGGCGGAGAGGAAGGCAATTTATCAGCGCCGTGGGGAGGACCAGGCAAGTATTGAGGAACGCACCCGGACCTTCCAGCTGTGGCAGGAGAGCTGGGAACAGGAGACAAGGGGGCTCTGGACCAGGCGACTGATACAACAGGTCCAACCTTGGGTTAATCGGCGGTGCGGAGAGGTGAACTTCTACCTCACCCAATTTCTGACGGGTCACGGCTTTTTCCGGTCGTACTTGTTCAGGATGGGCAAAGCCGTGTCACCCGATTGCATATACTGCCCAGGCATTCCCGATGACGTGGAACACACTTTCTTCCACTGCCAGCATTGGGAAAGGCCCCGCCTAGAGGCTCAACAGTTCGTAGGACTGCTGTCGGTGGACACGGTCATACCGATGATGATGGAGGGTGAGGACAATTGGACCTGTGTGTCACTTTACATCCAGGGTGTTCTCCGCGCCAAGAAGCTTGACCTCGACCGGGATGCGGTGTAGGTCAAAAAATAAATAATGCCAGAAACGGTGCGAGCCCTGTGGGCTTAGGTCACATGTTGGCCTGACTTGAAGTAATGTGACAAACAATTCCAGGTCTGTGTCCAACAGAGTAGAGGGGGTTTTTTAGTGAGTAGTCTGTGATAAACTCAGGAGTCTCACACTACAGGCTGGCTACCTGTGTGCGTAAAAGCATTTTCCCTCCTCACCCTAAAAAAAAAAAAAAAAAAAAAAAAAAAAAAAAAAAAAATTTTAATAAACACTGTGCTATGGGGTTATTACAACTATTTTGCTGTGAAAACCGGTTTTAAGAATAATGATTCTTTTGCAAACACTCGGAGATTGTTTGGGCCACATATCATCATTGTTCAACATGGGGCTGTTCCAGATTGGATAACGATAGGGAACCGGGTAAACGTATTTGGAATAACAGCCTAAATCTAAATCGTAAAAATAATTGGTGAAAGCCACAAAACTATTTGTACACCAGCAAAATGTCGAAATAGTGCAAGTCACAGTAACTAGAAGTCCAAAGAGTTTGCCTTCTAGGTCCAAAGACCCGCCTTTGTTGTTGGAAGCTTTCCTCCCTAGAAACTACTTAAAGTTCACGGTTTTACAGAGTCGCTCCTGAGATTTGCTTCAACTGAAGCTAAGGATTTTTTAGGAAATGTAAGCAATTCCTGAATAAATAAATCACTATGGAATATAAGACTTTTTAAGTAACAGAAAAGGTTTAACAAAATCTCTACCATGCTAGAAAGAGCACTAGATGGAACTTTCAAGCCGCTAAAGAAATGTTACATGGGACAGTGACGTCACTAGAAGAATGTTGTTTTTAAGAAATGGAAAATTTACTCCATCAAGTTATGATGACATAGGATAAACTGTTTTTTGGTGTGCTTTTTTTAAGGTATAGGTTAAATAGTATTAAATATGTATAAATTAGGGTGCTTTCGTTGCCTCATCCTGTGTTATTGCATAGCCTAGCAAAAAAATTATAGTTTGGACTGATCTTATAAATGTATGACCTTAACATTAATATGCGTACAGAATAAAATAACCTGTTGGAGTAGGCCTATAATTGGTTGTTTAAAATCATAAATAAACACGAGTTCCAATTTTTTTTTAATAGGACTAGATGCACATTATCAATTTTATATATATACCATTAGGTAGGCCTAATTGATTCAAAACATGAATTGAAGACAGGATTAGAAAAAGTATAGTAGTATCTTCAAGTAAGCGGGCGACTTAGCTCTAAAAGGGTTAAACATGTTACAACTGAATTCAAATCAAATACAAACCCCATCATGGGTTACCATCCAAAACTTCATTCACATCTCATAAAATGTTCATAAAAAACCTCTATAAATAACAAAGACGTTGAAACAACAAAAAGTCTCAAAAACTACATGAAAACAGAGAACAGTAAAAAAAAAACACAGAATTAAAACCACATAAATAAATCTAAAAAGATAAGGAGTATAAAAGTTTCCCTCGAGATTAAATCACTCAGTCTTACAAGGTCTATGTTACACGGACAAGACTGTACACGATTTACACAATGGTAACCCTAGCACTGTAATGTACACACACGAAAATAAACAGCTGACAAGACATTTAAAACAGGTTTAAACTTTAATAAAAAAATAACAAAACATATGACTATACCGACTGAAATTTCACCGATTCCGTGGGTTTTTGAGTGTCATTGTTTCGCACAACAGTTTCACCTGAACTCGTAGATTTGTGTGCTGTGTTCGGGAACATGACTTAACGTCAGCGACTGGTACCTGGAACAGCAACGGCAGATATTAGATCTCGAGTAGTAGTTTATTCCATTTTAACAGGCAACAAAAAATGAATAAATCAAGTTAGAACCATTTTTCAAACACGTGCTTGCTGGAAACACCCATAGTTTACATACACAGATAAACTAACAAAATATCACATCAGATATTCATTCACACATGTCCATGCATGCCCGCCTGTATTCTAAACCTCTACCCGTTTAGGGTCTAGTATATTTTTTATTGTTGGTTGGAGGATCTCTCCCACCATCTCTGGTTCAGAGGACTGCATTGGAATCCTCAATCCAGGTCAGTTTCTCAATCTATACCCATATAAATACAAGAGGATGTGATGAAATTGTTTTAAACTTACCATTCTGAACTCCGATGGTAGTAATAGCCCTCGATTGTTGCGGCAGACTTTTGGAAACAAATGTAATAGAAACCGGCGAAGCTGGCGCCATTTATGTCTTTTATCGTATGATCTGGAACGAGGAAATGTTCTTTCCACCTCATAAACACGTAGTCTGTAAGGTTGAGACCGTCGTAGTCGAAACAGTCAGAGTTGAACGTCTTTGCGTACTGATAAAATGAACTGAACTTGCTCTGTAACAGAATTATGGGTCAGAAGGGACCTAACTAACACAGTCCACCAAACATGATGTGTGAGTTCTATCAAATCCTGGGTTACCAGTTTGATAGAAATAGAATAAAAAAGTAATATGGCATATTGTCATCAGCTTAAATGCGACAAAATTGTCCACACCATAAAAATTGCCAAACAAAAATATAGAATTATAAGTACAACTGTTATTTCTTTACAAACCTAAGATTTTATTGACATGCTTTGTTTAGGCAACCCACCAATTACTCCAAAAACAATTTTTTTCATGAAACAGAATACACCATACATATTATTAAGCCTAATACTTATTTAAACACAAAACCAAGTTTAAACAAGGGATAGTACTTACATTTTCTTTTGAACTGTTCACTAAAATAAGCTAAATTATGATTAGTTTAAATCTCAAGACAAAATATTAGTAAAATCAAAATTATAATGACTTTTGTGGAACACCATTTTAAAGGTATGTGACTTTTTTTGGTTGGACACAGAGTAAGCATGCTACTGGAAACAGTGTCTAGGCAAATTAAGAATTTAAAAACATTTTGTTAATAATGCATGTCATAGAACTAAAAGAAATTTAAATTGAGTGTAGTGTTGAGTGAAATTCTAAATTCTTAGTTTAGGCCCTATTATAAAAAAGACTTTTTAGAAACTATGTAGGCTAGTCATAACTACTACAATTTACTATTGTACAGTCCTGGAAAACAATTATTAGGAACATTATCAAAATGTGTTAAAAAGTCTAAATAGTTTTGTATGATTTTTCTCCCCGCCCATCATGAATTGTAGGTAGGCTAATCTAGACTAAACCTTGTGATTAATATCGGTTGTCCGTAAGTGCCGGACTTATGAACGACATCGATTTGTACATCGTAAGAATGGATCGTTGCCCTTAAAAAGTCAATAGGATCTACGTTTTATTCTTTAAGCCTCACCGTCCAAGTGAAAAAATAAAATTCACTCAAACTAACTTAGAAAGGTTACAACTGACATTACATTTAAGTCTGTCCCAACTTTAATATAACTCTGAAATTCCGTTGATTTTGTTAGAGGAATTAAGAATTTGATGATGATCTTAATTCCTGTAATTTTTTCTCATTTGTGAGTCACAATCTGATGTAATTTACAAATATAATTCATTCAAAGTACCTAGAAGCATTATGCTTGTAAAAATCTAACTGATCCAGCTGAAGAATCATCCTCCTCCACCATATTTCATTCAACATTTCATTTCGCTAACCTAAATTATGTTTAAAAATACTTTTGATGAAGTGCCTATTGTTACCAAAAAATGCTAGGGCTTGATTTTCATTTTTTGTTCCTCAACATTAATTTATAAGCCACTTATTCTAAAGCTCAGATTCTCTAAACAAAACTATAAATTCAAATCCTGATTACTTTGCTCAAGGAGGGCATTAGTAACATGTCAAGATAGTAAACAATATGTAATGGTTATGATAGTAAATAATATGTTCATTTGAACTGCCCAATTATTGGAGGATAGTTACCAAAACTATTACCGTACTCACAAAAGTATTATAATAATGACAAAATGAACATGAACTATTCTCTTTTTCAAGCTAATTGACTTTCTATCTCGAAAAGTCTAAAAAATTTCAGTGAAGTCTCATTCTGTAAACGGTCGAATGAATTTCAACAACCGGTCAATAAAGGAGCGAGATCCAGTCTTATATTATAAATCGATGGCAACGGCCCCGCCCTTATATCGCTTATCACTCACTCGGTCAATGACGAATCTGAACCGTTCGGCCGCTGTCTGTGTTCGCTCAGTCTGGATGTAACGTCTCGGACGATTCCGTCGTCTTCACCTGAAGTTAAGAAATGTGAACATCGTACGACACCGGACAACAGGATAGGGTGGACACGCAATGTTAGTGAAACTTATCAACAGCTGGATTATTTTAACTTAAGCAAAAGGAAAAGCGATTATGGACTGGTTAATTCAAATGTACTTAAGTATAAAAAATCATATCTAGATAATTTAACGTCCTTGACTGAAATTTGAATCTACTACAACTATTTCAATACCTACCGTACCTTACTTACTCTTGACAAATTTATAAAAAAGAAAAATCACAACTATCCTTACACTTACAAGTTAATTGTATAACTTGAAAAACTATTTTTTTATATGTTTTTCTGTAGGTTATTGCAAAAAATGTGCACAATGTTTTCATCAGGAATGTAAAACAATCAAAGATGAAATCTTACGACCAAAATGTGCAAAACAAATTAGAAAGCTACAACCTATGCAATAATTTAATCTATGCATTATAATATACCTCTGAGATAACTGATTTAATTTTTTAAAAGTATTAGGATCACATGTACAAGCAAAGGCTTGAGACAGGTCATGTTTTAAAGACTTTTTAAGCTTGAACCAATGACTGAAAACTAAATTTCCCAATCTGCCAGGGTTCATCAAAATATTTTGTACCGTACCTAAAATTTTTTTATGAATTTTTAATACAAGGCTGAAAAACTTAATACAGTAGGCCTAGGCCTAGGCATAGGACTTAGCTAAACAATATTTTACTAGAACTAGCAATACACTACCTATTGTTCAAGAACTAATCCAAAACAAAAGATCTAATATTTTGCCAACAATCTGTACAAATACGCCCTACATTGTAATCTTATTAAGGCACAAATCATGATTCAAGCTTACCCAATGTTTTTTATCCACATCTTCGTCAGCATCCCATTTACGTGTGAGGAACGGATACTTTTTACTTATAATCTCTCCATCAAAAAACGTTGTCAATGTTGGAAACTCTTCTGTTAAACCTTTGATCTTCAAGTATCCACAAAGATACGAGTTCTCTTCATCTACATGCTGAAAATGAACATTCCGTTAACTACTTAATCACTTTGTTTGAAACCTAGTTTGAAGCCTAAAGTATGTTTTTAACTTTGAAAGATATTAAATTAGTCCTAACACCTAAAGGACCTTAGGATCAAGGATAAAGGAGCTTAGGTTAAATGGTTATTTACATATTTTACAAAACCTCGGACTACCGGTACATAGCATGATGAAAGCCGGATTTCAAATCCACTAGTAAATATCTGAATCGATTCGCTGGATTTAGCTTGGTGAACACTAAGAAAAAATAGGGTTTTAATATAAAAGTTAAAATTGCATTCAATCGAACTAAGTACCTGTAGGTGACATGCTGAGCTTACAAATACCTACCTAACAATAATTAGGAATCAATAATAATAATAATAATAATATCACTTTATTGTCATAAAACATTTCACATTTCCAGCAAAGCTGGTGAAACAGATGACATTGTCATTTCTTAGCTAACAAAAATGAAAAACTAAATCTAAGAATTAAAATTAAAATTAAACTAGTCACTTTTTAAAAAACAATCATTTAAATACTCTTCTATTGTATAGTATTTCTTTTTTATAAGGAATAATTTGAATTCTTTCTTAAACTTTATAATACTATTGATGTTTTTAAAATGAGCAGGTAAACCGTTGTAAAGCCTCAGACTCATATAGTACGGTGATCTTTCGTAAACACATAGCCGATGTCTTGGATACTGCAAATTATTTTTTGAACGTGTTGGGTAGTGATGAATAAATTGATTTTTTATAAATAATTGTGGATTACTCTTAAAGTATACCAGAATTTTATAAATGTAAAGTGAAGGCATTGTTAAAATTCCATATGTTTCAAAAAGCGGTTTACATGACTTTTTTTTGTGTGTAAATGATAAGATTCTTAAAAACTTCTTTTGTACCTTAAAAATTGTTGAGGCATATGATGTTGAGCCCCATAACTCAATACCATATTGCATAATGGAAAAAAATATCGCATAATAAACTATCAGCTTTGTTTTAGAATCAATTATGTTTCTTAAAACATACATCTGGAAACAAGCTGTATGTAATCTTTTAGCTAGTATTTCAATGTGAAGTTTCCATGTCAAATTTTTATCAATATTTATGCCTAAAAATTTAGTTTGTTCAACAAAAGCTAAAATATCATTTTTGTACGGTAATTCAAAAATTATGTTTTGCTTATTTTGTAGTGTTTGGAATTGCATAATATGTGTTTTAGCATTATTAAGTTTTAAACCATTTGACGCAAACCAGTTAGTTAAGTCTACAATTGATTGATCAAGTTCTAATCTAAGAGTATGTACATCTTTTGCTTTTACTATGGCTGTAGTGTCATCAGCATATAATATTAGGTTTGATGATACATTGTTAGGTACATCGTTAATGAATATTAAAAATAACAAGGGACCTAAAATTGATCCTTGGGGTACACCACAATTGATGGTTTGCCATTTTGAAATGAAATTTCTTCCATTTTTCTTAATGACAGTTCTTTGTTGCCTGTTTCTTAAATAAGATTGTATCCAAGACAGCGCCAGATCAGAGAAGTTATAATATTTAAGTTTATTGCTTAATACATTATGGTTCACACAATCGAACGCCTTGGAAAGATCGCAGAACACTGCTGCAGTACTCTGAGATCCATCCAAGCCCTCCGACACTCGATTTATGAAATCAGAGACAGCTGATATTGTGTTTTTTTCCAATCTAAAGCCAAATTGAATACAGGTGCCTCCACACACATTTTTTATTTTAATAGGCCTATTACTTTATTGCTTTTACCTCCTAAATTAAAATACAAAATTAATTAAGTGAAATAGGCCTAGCATTGTACTAAGTTAAGTTTAGATAGGCCTATAAACTTTTCATTTTTCGAATGTTCATTTTGGAGGTCTGTCATCGGCGTAAGGCCAGGGACACACTTACCGGCGAAATCACCGGCCGCCAGAGCTGGAGAAAGTTGAAATAGGCCTACACAGGAAGGCATGGGGAATGACACACTGCACCGGTCAGGCAAAACAGCCGGTCCGGCGGGATAGAGCTCCGGCAAAACCGCTGGATATTCTCTACTTCGCCGGACCACCAGACTACACGCTCGGACCAGACTACACGTCCCGGCGAAACAGCCCGAACTGCCCCTGCCCCACTCCTCAGACACGGTTCAACCCTCAGCTGTATGGGCTATTAATTAAGAGTCTTCTTCCCCCTGCGAAAACACTAAAAACATGCCTTGGACGTCCCTCGCTCCGGATGGAATGTGTGAAGACATAATGTTAAAACTTTTTCCCCTTACAGATTAATGTTTGTTCTAGGGCCCTAATACATGATATAGGCCTATCCAAGAAAATCAATAGTATAAGTACAGAAAAATCTTAAAGTAACGCAAATTGAGTCACTTTTAAACACTTATAAAACTAATTACTTTTTCATTGTCAACCTTTTGAGGTATAAGAACTCTAATATAACTATTCAACTACATTGATACCAATTTTCAAGAACATCTGTTGAAAAACGGCCTCCGGAACGGGGGACGAAATTAACATGTTTTGTCAGAGGCTACTTCGCTACTAGCCTTTTACAAAACTTGGCTCAGGCGGCAGATAAATCACTGACGTGTCTATTTAGTAGTTGTGTGTTTACGATGATTTCATAATGGCGCGCATAATGACCCCGCGCTACCTTCCCATCTACAACACCTTCCCCCCAAGGCCATATCCCCAAAACGCAGGGTGAAGACTCTTAACAGCTATGTCTAAGGAATTACTACAAGATTGCGCCACTCATCCTACACTCATCTCCATTCATACTTGGCTTAAAATACCTACTTTGTATGGTCGCCATTTCATTAAATTGTATTTAAATGTAAGGTGGTGGTTGTTTTGTACTTTATTTTTTAGCACAGTGTCCAATTGTTTTATTTAGTTTTATTTGTATAGTTATTAGTGTTATTCTATCACGAGTGTTGATGTAGATGGATTTACGCCGTCTTATTCCGTTCTGCTAGTTGAATGTAGTCACGGACATATGAAAATATTTTTTTAAACTTATTTTTTGTTCATGCCTGATCTGTAGAAATAAAATAAAAATAAAATGCCCCATGATGCTGCCTTTCTTCTAGAATGGGATGAACCCAATACTCAGGTGGCGTTTCCTCTTCTCCTGTGGTGGAGCACAGCCAATTTTTTCAATATTGACAGCAACATTTCAAAAACACAAACTGATTCATCGCAACTCTATTTATTGTCGCTGGCACCGGCAAAACAGTTTTTGCCGGGACAGTGTGTTCTGATATCCAACTGTTACCGGTTCCGGCAGAACCGCCGTCGGCGATTTAAATTATTTTGCAGTGTCTTACCCAGTGGTTTAATTAGACAAAAATAGTCTGGAGATAACACAAACTAACAACTCAGTTCATTATAACCTTACCTTGAACTTCCTAATCTAACCGAACTTCAAATCACTTATAATACAGCTTGAATCAACATAAAGAACGACCTTTCATCCTAACATGCCTAAATGAGGACTAGGCCTATGTGTAAATGTGGTCTGGTCAGCCAGCCCATTTATATCCCCGTAATGAGACTAAATTTTCTTTAAAGGAAACATTAATTGACTAATGGTCACTTAAGAAGTGTTTCAATGATAATTTTCTATACTTTAATCAACTATTCTTAAATCTACCCATCATTTCTCAACTTGCTTCAATTCACCTTCACTTATGTTAAAAGCTAAGTGACGCCATTGTTGATTGACAGATGTCCAAAATAGGTAATATTTGATCGGCTAGAAATATTCATTTAACTTACATAAAAAATTATGGTACCGGTATAAGTTAATAGGATTCATGAGGTAAATAAAACTTTGGAATAAGATATCAAGATTAAAAATTCACCCAAAGGTACGTTTTTCCAATTTAAGTTAGGCCTACCTCATCTGCTAATAGGCTTCTGTTTCTTCAGATGAAAGCTCTCACGGTTGCACCGAAAAAAAAAAAATGTTTTTCGCAATTGAGCATTTATACATTCCTAACCACATTTCTCACACTTAACTAACTTAAGTAGGCTACATTGCTTAGAATTATATCCCACCTCATCTTCATTTATTATTCATATAGGCCTAATATCAAGACTCTACATGGTGCACGAATTTCGCTGCCTAGTCACTTCTCAGGCGTCATTCTTGATGAGGACAATGGGGGCAAGATGATCGTAGTCAGGGCACTAAGTCGTTAAGTCTTATTCACCCCTATCTGGGAGATACTTTAACACGAGCCGAGCCTTTCAGTATTAGGTACCGGTAATACGTAATATTTGTTTAAAAGTATAGGCTAAATAAGATATTATGTAGGGCCTAAATGCATAATATATGATGGTTTAAGTTAATGTTGGAAGAATAATATAAAAGGCCTCCTTACTGAATTGGAAACTTTAATATGTTGAGGTAAATGTGTTTAGGCCTAGCTAAAAAGGGGGAGGTAATTTAATAATTGGAACAGGCTTGACTATTCCGGTTGGTTGTATCCATATCCACTAAGGTGTAGGCCTACTTTGAATTAGTTCTAGCTATCTGTCGAACATTAGCCTACAAATGAAAACAGTTCCATCTGTCAAACATGGCAAATGTAAACATGAAATCTACTTATTTCAAGAAATGTGAAAAAACGTAAACTCCGCTATTTTCTTTTACGCAGAGGATACGTGTCCGGTAACAGGACGCGGCAGTTACTGTCATAAGTAACCTAACCTAACCAACCAAACTTGCTGATAATGAAAAAAATCTAATGAAGGTTCAATTCTCTTCATAACATAAAATTATAAATGCCAAAAATTCTAACAAAAGATGTAACTTAGGCCTACAGTTAAGAAGAAATTACATTCAAAGCAAAATCAGTGACAAAAAGTTAAAGAAACCGATGGGTTTCGAACCAGGGACCTCTTGGATATCAGCCGAGCACTCTATCCACACCACGAACAACGCTGGCCG